CTCATTGCCTGCAAAAGTCAAGTTTTAGGAAAGTAGTGACTCACTTTGTTGGTGCTAGAAAAGAAAAATTACTTTAAATATGATTATTGACTACATGTGGAAACATAATTTTCCATGTGACTTTTGGTAAGACATCTAGAGATGTTGCTGAAGACTACTCACACAGTCTTCAGAAAAATGCACACACACATACAAATGTGAAAATTTCATGTTGCTTAGGAACTGGGATCCTGAGAACCATCCTGTTGCCCCATATGATGTATTGATGAAGGGTCAAGACACCTTCTCTGTGTCATCCTTCCATCAAAATCCATACTTTGAAATTATTATATTCAAACAAGTAGAATAAATGAAAAATAATATCTTGGCTTCATTAATTTTGGAAATAATCAAATTGTACATTTTCCAAGAGTATGTTGCTAGAAGAAAGGTAGAAAGTTGAATGCCTGTATGATTGAGTGAGATTACAAGCTGGAAACAAAGTAGTAGAGAATACACCCCTAAAAGGAACAGTTAGAAGGAGTGATTATAGCAGATTATGTCAAAGGCTTAAGTAGATAGAACAAAGTCACTGAGGACCTAGAGATCCCAAGGAAGGTTGGGGCTGGTTAACCAAGCACAGAGCAGGCCTCCTCTGATTGGCACATATGAAGCAACACACTCACCCTTCCACCCAAGGAAAAAAAACACAAAAAACTAATGTTCCTGTCCAAAAAGCTTAAAAATTATGGAAAATCACATACCTGAGAATTTCCACTTCAGGATAAAAAAAAAATAAAGCTCTGAAGTATATTGCAAAAATATTAGTCTTCAACTTTCATGAGTTTGCACTCAGCAGAGCTGACATCCATTTCTGATCCCCAAAATCCAGGGATCTTAGCTTTAGGTGTTAAGAGACATGTTCTAGAATTACCTTTTTTTTTTTTTCCTGGATTTTGGTTGATGATTCTGTGAAAAGAAAAATGACTTTGCTTGGTTTGGCAGAAATGCAAGAAAGATAAGCTGATTGGGGAAGAGGGAACCTGTTCCAATATCTGTCTCAAGGTCTTTTCATAATGTGTATGTCAGCCTGAGAAATTTTCATATGTAATGCATAAGTCTAATTATTTAGTTTGGCTATATTCTTTAATCCTTTTGATGCTAGCATTGTCACAAGGCAACATTAAATCATTTGGAATGATAACACTCTAGGTTATTTTTGCAGCTGTTTTCCTTGTCAAGTTTGTTTGAAACTGGACCCAATAGGATTGGTTATGGTGAAAGGAAAGAAAGCAAATAACTATGTCAACTTTATATTTATTTTCCTTCTTGTATAAGTAGAAACAAAAAAAATGAAATACATAGTTCTTAAACATCCTCCTCTCGTTGCCATAATTCAAAGACTCCATATATGTGAGTAAATTCTGGACAGTCTTCCTGATCTCACCTTTCCCTATTCTCATCCATCCTGAGCACATCAGCCAGGCTTAGCTTTGTAACTGAGGGACATTGGACTGGCTCCCTGTTTAAAAAGTTTGAGGACCCCTGATAGATGCTGCCTTTATGCTGCCTTTATAGATGTTGTCTAGTCTCACTTCTCACTGCCCCCAAGTATCCTTTATGTTTCAGCTTACCACATTTATTCAATCCTACAAATATTTATTAAGTGCTTTATTTGTCTCAGACTCTTAGCTAGGGGCTGAGGATTCAATGATAATTAAGACATGGTCTTTGCCCTGAAGGAGCTTGCACTCCAGAGTCGGAGACATATTAAAGTGTGTAAGTGCAACATGTGGTGATATGTGCCCTGTACATTCTAGTGGTTCTTCTGCCTAGAATGAACTTTCCTTTATATATTTCCTGTCAAAATTTCATCTGTCCTTTAAGACTGTGCTCAAATATCACTTCCTTTGAGAAGGCGATACACAATTAATTACTTGAAGCATTTGTTAGCATTTTATGTAGACTTCTATTATAATTTATTTTACGTATGTTGCGTTTTGTGTACATATCGGTTTCCACACTGATCTGTGAGCCCTTTGCATGCAAGGCTCACTAATCCCAGAACCTTAACATCATCATAGTCAATACTCAACACACAAAAAATGCTAATAAATATTTGTGGAATGAATAGCATTTCAGTATTATTCTAGCATCATAAAAAACATAAAGATGTTCTCATCTTACTAACTCAGATTTAATGGAAGATGAGATAATATGTTTTTAAAATGTAACTTATTTGGCCCAAAGCAGAGTTTAACAATCACATTCAAAATAATAATATTTTCCTATCTACAAGATATTGTTCTAAAAGAAATTCATGTAAATTACCCACTTTGATCATCATGAGAATTATATGAGTTGGGAAATATTATGATTTCCTTTTTATAACTTTTGTATAGACTTCAAAAAAACACATCATCATCACTATAACTGCTGATAGATACATAGCTCTTACTAAGCTAATACTGATTATATATTAACTCATTTATTTCTCACGCCAGCATGGCTGATTACATAGTTTCTATTATTATCCTCATTTTATATATGAGGAAACTGAGGCACAGGTTAAGTGACTTATTCTAGGTTACATTGTGAGGCCAGGATATGACCTGGTAGCCTGGACCTACAGCTCATACTTTTACTCATTATGCTAAGTAATGTTTTATTTTGTAATTAGTACTGCGATGCATAATTCAAAATAATGGATTATTATCCATAGGCACTTGAAATAACAAGGATTTAGATCATATAAACTACTTTCCTCTACCAATTGAATCAAAATATACTTCTAGGAATTCCCTATTATACTTTTGATTTTGCCCATTTCAATCTTTGTTAAATAAGAGAAACCCCATGGAAAATACAGAATTGCCTAATTGAATTAAGGTTGTATGAAATGTATTCTCTTGTTAAAGCTTTAGTTTATATCTGTTTTAGCTATTCTCTTGGCTCCATTATTCTCTTCTCAGTTCTACTTTATGATCAGTATGGTACGTTTGTTGGATATTAGCCCTGCAAAAATAAGCTTATTGCATTTGAAGCTGCTAAAAAATATTATACCATTGGGTCTCTGGTCTAAAAAGCAATTAAAGTTATATTTAGCTTAATAGAAAAATAATTAGTATAGAGTTCAGACTCCCATCCCATATACACAAAGCATGACCAATAAATATTAATAAGATATTTATGTTTGGGAAAGCCATACTCACTCGAGATTTCAGATAGTATCTTATCTTTTTCAGCATTCTGCCTTTTGCTTTGTAAAAACTAAGGCAGAGATCCAGCTTAGAAACTAAGGGAAATACATTTACTCATTGTAAAGCAAAAAAAAAAAAATGAAGGCAATGCTCAAAATATGAAATAATAATAAAGTCCACAGCTGATGAATGAAATATATACCCTTTAAATTTAAGAGACTCATGGCAGTTTACAGATGTTGAAATGGCCATGATACTTTTTAGAAGTATCTTGATGCCTATTTATAAGACATTATCTCTTTTCACCTTTGTCATCAGTTAATAACAAATTACTTTAAAATAATGAATTGGTTTCAAAGTCTGGTAACATATAATGGTCCTTAGAAGTGGTGAATGATATTATTACCATATCGGTACTCAGTACTCTAGGATTTTAGAAAATGAGATGGTATTGCAAGTACTTGGGGTAAAATCTTATTGAAAAGATTTGGGTTCCTCATAGGAGTCACAATTATAAATGAAATAAAGAATTGGGACCTATGGAAAAGTATCAAAGAGAAAAGGAGACCAGGAACTCTGACTCAATTATCAATTTTGCCACTACATAATTTTGACTTTAGGGCATCTGACTTCACCTCAAAAGATTAAATACCTTCATTTATAAAATTTTGAATTTGCAGTAATTGATTTTCCAGCTTTAAAATTCTGTTTCCAGTAATAGTTCAGGGTCATATCTCTTTCAGAATCCATTTGCTTGGATTTAGCTTCTTTGTTTGCATCTCTTGTCGCATGTGTGAAGCAGAAACAGTGTAATCCTTCAAACACAGGCATTGATAAATAAGTTGTGGTATATCAAGACAATAGAATTTTAGTTAGCACTAAAAATAAATTAGTTACCCAGCCATGGAGAAATGAAGACGTGGAAGAAACTGAAATGCACATTACTAAGTGAAAGGAGCCAATCCGAAATGGCTTCATACTGTATCATTTCAACTGTATGACATTCTGTAACAGGTAAACCTATGAGACATGAAAAAATACAGTGTTTGCCAGGGGTGAGGGGCAGAAGAGAAAGATGAATAAGTGAAGTATGGGAATTTTTAGGGCAGTGAAACTACTCTATATACTATTAATGCAATGGGAAATACATGTCATTATACCTTTGTCTAAACCCATAACATGTACAACACCAAGATTAAACCCTAATATAAACTGTAGGCTTTGGTTGATGTCAATATACAATCATTGATTGTAACAAATGTACCACCGAGGTGGGGCATGTTGATGATGGGAGAGGCTATGCATTTATGGGAGAAGGGGGCATATAGGAAATCTCTATCTCACTCTCAATTTTGCTGTGAACCTAAAAACACTCCAAAAAATGAAGTCTATTAAAAAAAAAAGTAGGAGAAAAAGAAATGCTAAGAGATCAATGACACACTTAGTTTGATGTCTACTTTACATTAATTAATTTTTATAAGTTTGGAAATATTACTATAGGTAAATGCTTTAAGTTATAATTTAAGAATGTGAAAACAGGGTTATAAAATATTTTGTATTTAATTGGGTATTTACATATTTATATTGATTTAAATATGTATTTTTCATACACAAAATATTGTATTAACAAAGTACAAATATAATACATCTATTTCTAAATCAGTATATATAAACTGCAATTGTTTACATATATCTGAATTGGAGCCTTCATACTGTGTATAGGCACCTATAAAGTGGTATAATATGTATATTGAGGCAAGTAAATATTTTGTTTATTAAGAATTTTTTCTTCCTTTCTTTCCTTCTTTTTCTTTCCCATAGACTTACTGCTTTCAAACAGCTGTATTCCCTTTTTGGGTTCATCAGAAGGACTGGATTTCCAAACTCTTCTGTTAGATGAAGAGAGGGGCAAGCTGCTCCTGGGAGCCAAGGACCACATCTTTCTTCTCAGTCTGGTTGACTTAAACAAAAATTTTAAGAAGGTCAGTTTATTCAAATGTACAGGTGATTGAACTCATTTATTTTCATATGTGTTCTGCTTTGTTTTAAGTGACTCAATATTATATGTAGTAAGTCATTTACATGTCAAAAAACATTAAAAGAAGAGATTGCCTCATATATATTTTAGATTTTTATGGATTTAAGTACATATGCATGTTCTTTATTAAGAGTGAGTGTAATATTAAAAGCTTTGAAAATATAAATGAAAAACTTCAAAAATTAGCAAATATGTACTAGGCTGTACAATAGAAATGCAAAGTTTTGAACTGAACAAATGACAAGTGACTTATTCAATAAGAATGAACATTTATAAATATAATAATTGTTGTAAAATTAAAATTTTATTAAATTTCAATTAATAATTAACCATACCTTCAACTGACAGTTTGACTATGGTGATGTTTTAATATCTGCTCATACCTCTTTCTCCACACTCTTATTTCACATTTGAACAGATTTATGACCCAGTTGCTCTCAGCTAGATATTAATAATGCCCCGCAATGGGCTCAATAAGAACAATATTACCACTAAAAAGAAATATACACTAGTTATTTAAAATCCAAAAGGCAGTTGCTACTTTTCCCCACATTTCCAAATAGCAATGTGAAATCCAGAGGAAAGAGTGCCACGCTTTAGATTTTATCAATTATTATCTAGTACTTTAGCAAATATCATTATCTATGCATGTAGAGATAGATACTAAGATTGGCAGTGATTGAATGATTGAATAAAAGTCATAATATATGACCTAATTGGATCTATGAGGCATCTTCTATTGTTACTTTTTAACTATCTTTTTCAGAAGCATTGCAAAACAAACATGAGGAGCTATTCCAGTAGCTTCAGGTCAATAGTTCCCTATATTCTGTTCTTCCTATTCAAAAAGAGTTTAGGTCATTCTAAGACCTTGAAGCTTTATATAGCATTCATCTATAATGACAAATTTAACTTAATCCTCTAATCATGAGATGTATTTAATAACCAAATATCAGATGCTCAGTTATGAGTGTTATTTTTCCTGAGAGCTTTAGTCTGCATAGGCAAAATATTTATCATCATGTGTGTTAATATCGCTAAATTAATCCCTGCATTACAATATTTTTTGCTTTTTAATCATTCAATTTTTAAGTAGTTCTTCTATACCTTCTTGAGTCCCACCAAACAAAAGGAGTCATTTCTTATGAATATTTAGACTTGATAAGGAAATAATCTTTGAATGCAAATGCATTTGCATGTATTTCATGTAATCTGTGTTTCTAGAAGAAAAGGTGATGGCTAAAATATTGCCAGTAATTGTTCTCAATTTCACACTTAGAAACTCATCAGATTATCTTTAAAAAAAATAAAATAAAGTTATCCTGTAGCCTGGATATTGCTGAGTAATGTAAAATAAGCAGTTGATTATGTACTAGAATTTGAAAAGTTTGCCCTCCCTTCTAACGTTGTAGCTCCATTGCATTTTTTCTTAAGGCTGTATTTTTTCTTCAGGTATTTCTTTTAAAGTACTCATATTCCTAGGAGAGGTAATTGATGCTGTCAATTAATATCTCAATTGTCAGTAAATACCTTAGCAGGGGATGACAGTTTTTATGAAAGAGGCCAAAGAAAAATTTTAGTTAATCTTTGCAGTTTCACTTTAAGAGATACTACATAGTATAAAAGGTATTTTCCCAAATATGTCTCAGTTTTAATGTAACTACAAAAAGCAATTCATACTTTTAAGGGAATTTGTTCATGTTCTGTTCTCTGCCTTCGGGAATTCGAAGAAAAAGTCTATTTATCTGAACTGAATGTATTAGATCATTGCTTAAAATAAATGCTGATAGAGTAACTTCCTTCTTTGACTATTTTAAGCAAATCTCTCTTTGGCCATATTTCATGCTTGAAATGTGCTAATATTTAATAAAGTAAATGTTTATGCAATACCAATTTCTCTTATGATGTTATTGAAATAAATGGATATTTGAATACATTATAAAATTAGATAATGTCTACATAATTGATATTTCTTTATAACTCTATAAAATGTATAATTGATAAGGGGATTATGTATGCAAAAGTAACAATTTATGTTTATGTAGGTAACGACAGTTCCAGTTTATATAAATAACTCCAGTGCTAAAAGGTACTCCCACAGTAGCAAGTTAAGTGTCAAGATGTAGTACTTTAGCTGTGTTTAGACCTACAGGGTTTGCATTGGCTCAGTGCCCTTCGGCAGAGATCCAAACTCCTCTGTGGAGAAAACCACACATGTTGGGACTCTGAGGGGCTGAAGGTTGTCCTTTGTACTCTTTATAGTTAAAGCAATCTACAACACACAATAGAGTTATGAGTGACTGGGTGGGAATTATTTTCCCTTGGAAATTAAAAAAAAATCTGTTAGAGAATACTTAATTGAAGTAAGCAAAATTGAGGATATACGTGTACTTGGAGTTTTGGTACAAACACTGCTGTGCCTATCTTATCATTCATATCTGCCATGGGCATTTATTGAGGAATCACCAGAAATTATAGGGAAATCATTTACAAAATGAGTTAGGTAATAAATACTTAATAATAACCTTGTTATTATTATTTACTCTTGTTCAGACTAGATTTTGAGTCTAGTACAGTGAATGGTGCAGGTATATGTTTAATAATTTGACAAATGACTGCAGAAGAAAGTCAAAATTAAATTTTTTGGAAAAATTTCTACTTTCTAGAAAATAAAAATTAAGCAGATTAGTTTTTTTTGTTTGTTTGTTTTTTTTAACTCTGGCAACTAGATAATAGGGATGAGATTCTGGTCTGGTCTTGTTTTTATCTTTTTTTTTCTTTTACATTAAGGGGAAGGATTATTTTTATAGGGACTTCTTAGACAACGGCAAGGATACACATTGCAAGTATGTGACACTTCACAAATTAAGTAGACTTTTCCAAAGTTGGTGCATAAGGCCTCTCTTCAGTTGGAAAATACTCTGTGGACTCCTCTCTGGGACAGGTTCTAGACTAAAATGCACATTGATTTGACATTCCCTTCCTCCAGCACTACAGCAAAATGCAGCAATCAGAACCAGCCAGAAGTGATCACATTCTGAGGAAAGAAGATGGATCTGAACTGTACTTACCACTTCCAACACTGTGTTGTAGGTTGAGTTCCCTGAAGCCAATTCCGAGATGAAGACTAGTTTGTGGAATATTTGTTCTAAGGGAATGTTCTTGGGATCAACACTGTGGGAGAATAGCTAGGAAATAGGATTAGGCAAAAGGAGAATTCATCTGTGATCCAATCCCAGCAAAAGACTCAGCTGTCAGGCCAAGATGATAAGATGGCAAACATTTCAATGTATTTTTCTAGCTTGAGTGATAATACCATAATTCCACTGAGTTTATCCTTTTCTCTTATCTAATCCATTCACCACAACCATCAAATTTATCTTTCAAAAAGTAAAAGTCTGATTATGTATCTCTCATTTAGACAACTCTGGCAGTTTTTCCTAGGAACTTGAATTAATTCCAGGCTTCTTAGCATTCAGTCCTAAAGCTCTTCCCAGCCCATTTCCAATCTATGTTTACAGCCTCATTTTTATCTATTCTTCACTGTTCCCTCACTTGCACTCTATTTTCTGCTTCCCTTTTCCCCATCCTTCTCTTTCTTCTTTACTCAAACTATACAGTTAATTTTTTCCAAAATAAATAATTTACTTTCAACTTCTGTTCCTTTGTTAAAGGTTCCTGGGATTTTACTTTCTTGTTCATCTCATTCCTCATTCTTAAAGGCATTTATCTAAGTTTACTCTTGTCACCTTTTGCACTCCAAAGCTCCACCTCACCCTTAGGAGACTTAAATTTTTTTTCTGTGTTTACTGGAGGATTTTATATATTTATGCCAATGTCAGATGTCCTAGCTGATAGCATTATCATCATTCATTTGTGTCAGTATATCCCCATTCACATATGTTCCTTGAATAAGGGGATTTTTCATGTACTTCTGATTCTCTTTTAGCACATAGCACAGTGTCTTACACATAAAAGACCCTAAATAGTGTGTTTCTTTAATTTTTTTAATTGGTGATTTTGTTAGTTTTCTTCTTTTGAGTGAGGAAACACTATATTAGTCTTACCAATTACCATATTTCCCTGAAAATAAGACAGGGTGTTATTTAGTTTTCCTCAAGAGACACCCTAGGGCGTATTTTCAGGGGATGTGTTATTTTCCCCTCAAAGCCTCAGCTTGCAGCACGCACAGGATGGCCGGGATCTGACAGGGGAAGCCGACCTTGTTGGTGGAGCTGTCCACATCTTTCCGTCACCTCTGGGATAGTAACTGTCACGATGGGCGAGATGAGAAGGGCTGCCTCGTCTTCTTTGCGGCTCTGCGACAAAATGCATGGGTTGTGCAGATACACTGCATAGTCACGCCCATCACTAGGTCTTATTTTCGGAGTAGGGCTTATATTGCACAAATGCTTAGAAATCCTGCTAGAGCTTATTTTATGGGTAGGTCTTATTTTCGGGGAAACACGGTAGCATGCTGTTGGCTTAGTATAAAAAGCACCTATCTTATTTATTATATCATACAACAAGAATAATGTCCAGAGTCTGAGTGGCTGCAGAGATGAAAATATCAATTGCCTAATGATGTTACAGAGGACACAATTCTTTTTGCTTTTGCCTTCCACTCTTGGTTTTGGCATTATCCTTCGGTTGGTAGTAAGATGGCTGCAACAGTTTGCATGGCTCACATCCAGACATGTAAAGAGGAACAACAACAAAAAAAATCACGTGTTATGTCTTTCATAAAAGTAAGAGAAACTTTTGCAGAGCCCTCCCTTACCTTTCCTTGGCCAGAAATGTATCAACCAATTCCCAAACTTGTAAGAGAGTAAGGGTAACTGTGATTTGCTTATATCAGTCATCTCAAGTGGAAGGAATGTTCAGGAAGTAATCATGTTGATCACTACACTTACAGACAGGGTGTAGAAAACAATCTTTCTTTAA